TTTTAAATCACAACGTACAAGGGGGGTGGGAGGGCTAAGAATATTAATCACAGAGAGTAAGGAGACATGTTTCAATATTTATAGATTAAAGGTTCATTCTAAGATGAAATCTTGGCCATAAAGAAGAATTTTACAAATGACTTTCTGGTTATTTGTGTAATTCTTGGTGGTTTTGTTTAAAGATTTTTGTTTGTTTATTCCTCAAAATTTTCATGTCATTAACCTTACATAAACTCCTCACTGCATGTCTGATTAACCCTTGGCATATTCATTTTCTCCTGACTTGAAAGAGTAACCCATTAGAGTTTAACCCCGATGTCTTGAAGAAGTCTGCAGTTCAGAGAGCTTTAAAGGTAAACTAATAGTTTTCCCTACAGGTCGCAAAGTTAATTAAAACATATTGAAAGAGATGATACTTTAGGTCTCATGAGTTTATTGGCAAATTACCTCTTGTACTAAAATATTAATTAATTGTGTAATTGAAGAGATCCTACTTTTGTTATCGAAGACTAGTAGTTAGAAAAATTTAAGTCATCTAATAAGATAAGTTAGATTACTTTTATGTTGGCCTTAGTAGAAAGCTATCTTTAAGGTGGTTTAAATGTCTCTATCTTAATTGGATTTGCATTTGTGAAAACGGTGATATAGAAGTCCTACATAAAACCTTAACCAATTTTTAGATTATGTTTTAAAGACATGTCTTGTGAACTGTGACTATACATTTAAAAAATCACCTCTTCCAATGTGTTGAGTTAGGGTTATCTCTGAGCTAACAACCTCATGGCTTTTGGTGCTGCTGGGTTTGGGTGACAGAGCTTTTGAGAAGCTTTAAATTTCATTAAATGAGGTATATTGAAAACTAAGCTCCACTCCCTAAAACATGACAGTAACATGTGTTCTCTGGCTAAATTGTCAAATATCTCCTGTGACTTAATGTTTTATTATTTTTTCTCTAATTTCTTTGAACAATGTAGGCTTAAAATTTCGATGGAGATGGGGAATTTTAAATGTAATTGTTTTAACAAAACTTTATCCCAAAGAAACTATGATTGTTTTTGAACCAGTTTAATCTAGAAAAATAAGTTCGATTTCAAAAGTGAAGAAGACTGGCAAAGTCTGCTTTTCAGTGTGATATTTGTTAACCCTTGCTGCCCTGGAGTGTACTGAGGAAATAAAAGAGGTTTAGTAGGGGTTACTCCATGTCAATAGTAGTTAACATGGTCATTGAAAATACGGTACCCTCCAGAACACTGAAAAGAATTGCATTGACATTGGCTCCTCACTCTTTTAGTGCTTTGTTTTGTTTTTGTTTTTGTTTTGTTTTTTTTTTTTGCTATCTGAAGATTATTGACCAACAGAACACAGTGTTAGGGATGAAGGCTCTGCCAGCAAGATATTCAATTCATTGTTTGTTTTTGGTTTTTTAATTTGTGGAATAGATATACTATCTTCACAGGATTGTTGAGTACACTGGATAAAATAATACATGGTTAAGTGCTCAATGTAGCCAGGATAATAAATATATTATAATTCTTATGTTATTACATTAGCTCATTTAAGCTCAAAAAGGTTTGAAAATGGTATACCCATTTTGTCGACATGAAAACTAAAGTCCAGATAGATGAAATATTTAGGTTTCAATAATCAAGTGATAGGCCAGGCTCGGTGACTCAGCCTGTAATATCAGTACTTTGGGAAGCCAAGGCAAGTGGATTGCCTGAGCCCACAGGTTCGAGACCAGCCCGGGCAATTTGGGGAGACCTCGTCTCTACAGTACATCAAAAATTAGCCGGGCACAGTAGCACGTGCCTGTAGTTCCTACTACTTGGAAGGCTGAGGTGGAAGGATGGCCAGAGCCCAACAGGTTGACACTGGGGTGGCCATCAGTGTGCCACTGCACTCCAGCCTGGGCAACTGAGTAAGACTCCAACTCAAATAATAATAATAATGTGATAAAGCTTGTATTTTCATTATATTTTGTGCTTTTGAATTGTGCTGGTACATTTTGGTATTAAACTTAGTGGTTTAACCTTATTTTATAGAATCTAGAACATCATCCATTTTAAGATAAACCATTACTTTATATACCACTAAGAAAGTGAAGTTGTGGTGGTATTTATTTTATACTTACTGAAAGAATTTTTAGATTTAGAATAAGCAGAGTTTTGTCTTGTCACTCATAGGAAATAAAAGGAAAATGTAAGCATAAATTAAAATGATATAAAATTAAAGCATATAAAAGGAAAATATAAGTAAAATTAACTGGTTAAGGCAATGAGAGCTGTCCCACTACTGTGAACTGCCCAAAGCAAGTATATAATATCATCCATTTTTTTTGTTTGTTTTGAAACAAAGTGTTACTCTGTCACCTGGACTGAAATGCAATGACTCGATCATAGCTTACTGTAACCTCGAACTCCTGGGCTCAATCGATTTTTCTACCTGGGTCTCTCGAGTAGCTGGGACTATAATACATACTACCATGCCTGGCTTAATTTTTTTTTCCTCTCTTTTTTGGTAAAGACAGGGTCTCAATATGTATCCCAGGCTGGTGTCCAACTCCTAGCCTTAAGCGATCCTTCCACCTTGGCCTCCCAAAGCACTGGGATTGTAGGCTTGAGCCACCACACACAGCACCTCAATTTTAAGTTTTATTCTGTTTTCAGAGATGTTAGAAGGCAAAAAAAAAAAAATGTAAAAACTGTGTTTGAAGGCAAGGCTCAGTGGCTCGGCCTATAATCCCAGCACGTTAAGAGGCCGAGGCGAGTGGTCTGCCTGTGCCTGCGGGTTCAAGACCAGCCCAGGCAACTTGGCAAGACCTCATCTCTACAATAAATAAAAAATTAGCCGGGCATGGTAGTGCACGCCTGTAGTTCCAGCTTCTTGGAAGAATGAGGCGGAAGGATCGCCGGAGTCCAGTAGGTGGACGCTGGGGTGACCTTGGGTATGCCACTGCATTCCAGCCTGGGTGACGGAGTGAGACTCCAAGTCTCAAAAAAAAGAAAAGAAAAAGTATGTTTTAAGATTGGAAAGGAGCCGGGCTCGGTGGCTCAGCCTGTAATCCCGCGCCTTTGGGAGGCTGAGGTGAGTGGATTGCCTGAGCCCGCGGGTTCGAGACCCGCCTGGGCAGCGAGA